TCCATCTGCTCATGCAACATTTCCAATCCACTGACTTAAACATGCTAAATCTAAAATATGTTTCCATAATTGGTTTGTTGTCGAGGGTCATAGCATATGCTATAATGAATTATCACCTAATCATTGTATTCTCATTGGAAATCCCATTAAATTGTTGAGGAAACTGGCCCATGGATTAGAATCAAGCGAACTGAAAATGTTCACTATTATCTTTTATATTTCATAAACAAAACAGGTCATTGAAAAATGAGCAGTGTTGGAAATATGGATTTTTGTTTTTTTTGCTTTTCCACACCTGGAAATTGATTAAGTCAATTTCCACTTTCCTTACTTGGGTAGGAACCCTGACACTAACATCATGTCTTTTGGACTTTGGCTGTACCTTCGTCTATGTCTGGGGGCAGCCCTCCGACAAACACTTTTCGAGAGTAGCGCTCTATGCGTTCCCCATTCAGGTGAGGGAAACAGTGCGCCGAACCAAGTCCACCAAGACCTTGGTCCGTGGTCTCGTCCTCCCCGAAAGAGCATTCATCCTCCATTGGGAACAGAGAGGAATGACCTAAGCAAGAGGATTAAAAAAAAATATTTTAAATGGTAAAGAAAGCTGCTCCATGTTCTGTTGAAGGCAGATTTAAAAGCAAACATGGGGTTGCACTGCAAAACATCCAAGGGAGAACATTAATTTGGTAAATAATTTCAAATGCTGAACTTTTTTTTCAACAAGTACATGACAAGATTTACCTCGTCTTCTGCCATAGGTTCTCGCTGCATGTAAAACAACACAACAGTTTTCAACAACAAGTTTCTAATTTAATTGTAAGGAACCTATTCTGTTATAATGCGTAAGGGATTGATTTCAATTATGCCACAGGGCTTTTTACACATGCAATTTACATACCATTCATAGGCAGAGGCCCGTCTCCACCCTGGTGAGAGAAGCTGAAGCGTCCTACAGCGAATGACAAAACAGGAAAGGCTTCAAACCATATTACAAACTGGAATTACCTAATTTCCGTCAAGGATTATATGCAGCTCAACAGTTTGTGTGCGATTTGTGCTTCAAGGGATTCAGTGGGGTGGCACGGTGGGTTAGCCCCGAGAAACTGATGTCATTTTCAGTAACAGCAAGTGGCAAAATGGCCACCTGCTGAGGTGGAAGAAAATGGGTGGATTTTGCTGCTTAATCCAAATTCCACAAACGTAATATGAATCAGAATACCATGTTTAGAAAAGTGGTGTTGCATAAAACTTAATATTTGTAGGATTTTTTTTAACTTCCCTTTTAAGAAGGGGATTCAGGGAGGTGAAGTCCCAGGTTAAGTCCCCAGTGAAGATTGAATATTGACGCAATTAAATCATACTGGATTAAGTCAAGTGTGTCGTTTTGCCTGCTGCCTTACGGATGTTCACTGCGCAGCATTAAAACCCATGTGCTGCAGTCGATCTAAATAAGTTTATATAACGCAACATACAATTTTACAAAAATTGCAAAAGTATTATTCCTGAATATTTATTTCACTTTCAACCACTCAACATGTTCAGTGGCATCAGTGCTATACATACACATATAGTTCTTATTTTTTTCTTTGTATTTTTGCCCTCTATGGACAATAAAAGCGGTATTGTGCTATGACCAAAACATAAATATTAATCTATATAAATAAAACATGAATTGGAATATTTCATATCACACACTTTTTATGCTGTGTCTTTGATTTAAAGATGACAATACGCAAAAATCTACAAAAATTGTAGAAATTGTAACATATGGGGTAAACCATGTGTTACAAACATCGTAGAAATTGCAGCACAAGGGTTACAGATGATTTCTTTGATGCAGCAAACCTTATGCAGGACCTTCTGCAAACGGTGCTGCACTTGCTTCCATGGTCCTTCTGCCGTGTTACGTGTCAACATTTTTATGTTGCGGTATTATTCAGGCCATCACATTTTTTCTTTAGCCCAGTCCGACTAGCCACCCTGCCTAGGTTTTTGCTGTTCATCTGTAAGAGTCCGAATTTATTTATATATCTTATATACTGTAACTTTTCTCAGTGGGATTCACACTGTATACTGCATGCTATGCGAAGACACCCAATAATGTCTGACTGTCATATAAGGCTCTATTTATTTATAGCCAATGGCAACAGAGCTGATCCTCACGACTGTTGCTGTGGGAACTAACCTTTCAAGGAATCCTGTTCAGCCCTCATAATGTCGATCAGGGAGTTCTCCAGAGAGTGCATGTTGAAACCATCAAAGGAGCGGGTTCTTTCCTGCTAAAAGAGGGGACGAATACAATTACCCTCCTCACAGCTCTGCCATCACCATGTGAGGCACCGGCAGCCCTGACAGTTAGCCATGATGCTCGTGGCTAGAGATGATCCCCGGCATACACAGCACTGACGGCATACTAACTCATTGCAACAAGAAAGATGCAAGGCTAGCCAATGTACCAGTACCATTGGCGATGGACGGGAAAAAAAGGATGACACGAAACAAAATGTTGGCATTTGGAACATAACCACTGAAAGGCATGATGGGCATGTTGCAGACTCAACATTTACGAAGCTTTAAAGCAGACAAAGCTACATGTTGTCCTTATAATATGTACGTATGTCCGTCACATATCCTGTTTCGCTCAATGGCTCATTTGTTGCATATTAGCGCAGTCAACAGCATACACATTATGGACAAAATGGATTGGAAATATTTGAAAAGCCTCACCTGGAAAGGGTAGACACTATCACTGCGGCTCACAGCATCCTCCACCCAGCCCTTGTGATTGAAGCCAGAGCTATTACGGGGAAACTTCTGGAGAGGAACCTGGGGAACATTAAGAGTTTCATCTAAAGGCCAACATTATTTTGTATTAATCGTAATAACTAATATGAAAATACAGCAGAATGTTTTTTTAAAAATCAGGCACATACTTCCATAAAGATTATTCAGCCGAGAGGGTAGTAGCTAATGACTCACAATAAAACCACCACAGTACCTACTCCCAAAAAATCTGCCTATTTTTACTCGATGGAAAACACGCTGGCGGCACATTAGTTGATTGGTTAGCACGCCCGCCTCACATTGCAGAGGTCTAGGGTTCAATTCCCTGCTCTGGCCTTCCCGTGTGGAGTTTGCATGTTCTCCCAGTGTCTGCCACGCAGACACTGGGAGAACTGCTGCGTTTAAATTGGCGTATTCCCTATTTTGTGGCACTGGAGAAGCCGGAAGGCAGCCACTGCTCTCAGAAGCACGAAATATGATATTGACGATAATTATCATTTCAAATGTAATCTTAGCTTTCTGGAAGGTTGTCATGAGTTTTTATTAATACATTTGATTATGATTGAATATTATTAGAAAACGGTACATTGTTTACAGAGGGAGCAACCACAAATCGTGAGCTCTTATAGTGCCTGCAGACCGATGCACAGCGTATTAATTCTAGCAACACCTATAAAATGCCACTAGGTGACAGTAGCCTACTGCTCTGCCACCTTTGTTCCCTCTCCATGTGACTTGACAGGTGTCTGCATGGGTGATCAGTTGTATTATTGTGTTTGTGCTTCTCTTTATCCTTAAATGACAGTTGAGGATGTTAAAGTGCTATTTATAAATAGTAAAGCCTGAACAGTTAATAGAGGTGTCGATGTTTGACAGCAACAGTTTTGAGCCACTACAGACAGAAAAGAGCGTTTGGATGATTATTGACAACTGCATCTACCTGACTGTTGGGGAAGGACTTCTTCAGCGGAGAGATGGAGTTAAGGGCAGTCATTGCTCCACCGACACCACGCCGGTACTCTCGAACCCCATGTGAGCCCCCCCAGCCTCCATAGCCGCCGGGGCTCCAGGTGGTTGATGTGGGAGTGGAGGGGCTCTGGTAGTTTCCCCAAGGCGAAGGGTGTTTGCTCTGGGCAGGAGTGAGGTGGGGCAGCTGTGGGAAGCCTCCGGTCCGATGGGCATGCGGAGGGAAGGAGGGCTGAGGAGGGTGAGGGCTTGCCGGGGAGCGCCGGTGCTGCGGTGGAACACCCTGCCCATGAGGGTGATAGGGCTGGGGGTGAGGTGTGGAAGGATGGTGCTGGGAGACTGGTCCAATCTGCGGAGAGAAATTGCCACCTGCACCAAAGCTAGGCCCGGCATGGTGGGAGAAGCTCTGGAACAGCAGAGGAGGTGCATTGCCATTGGATCCAGCAGGACCGAAGAAGCCTCCAACGTCATCACCTACCGCTGGAGACTGGGTAGAAGGAACAGCAGGGGACCAGTTGTTGAAGCTCGTCAGTGAGGAGGTGGGGGACTGTGTGCACCCTGAACCCATTCCCAGGGTGTCCTGGTAGTCAAACCCACTCAGCACTGGTGACTCCATCCTTAGCTTCTCCTTCCCACCACTGCTCTCCAGAGAACCTTTCTCCATCAAGTTGTCTTCAGGAAGAGCTCCCTCCAGCTCACCTAAGGAAGCGTCGGCTTCCTGCGGGCCTGGAGAGATGGCCTGAGGCTGGGCCTGAACCTGAGACTTTTCCTGCATTTCCTGGAGGTCTAAAGCCTTGAACTTGTCCGATTCCAGAATCTCATCTTGCATGTTACTGTGTTGGGCTACTGCGGGGAACAGCCAAGCACTGCCCCCATTGGTGGAGCAGGTGTTATTTACTAAGGGGTGGGGGCTCGGCGGGTTGGAAGGGTGGTGAGGGTGTTGGGGTTGAAGGTGAGGAGGGATCCTTACAGGGAAAGGAGATTTGTTACCACTGCTGTTCTTCACCACAACACCGAACCCGTAGTCCCCCATTTAGGACACCCAGTAAAATATTCAATAGGTTTTGGCTTTCACCGGCTTTTGTTTTAATCCTGAAAATGAGAGGAACAAATAGATTAAAAGGAAGGAACATGGTACATCTTGAATGAAACACACACACACATATATATATACATACATACATACATACACATATATATATATACATACATACATACACATATATATATATATATATGCGCGCGCAGTGGATTAGTTGGACTGCGTGGTGTCTCTTTTATACTGCGACCACAGAAATGAAATTAGTGTCTCGGCAAGATAATAATGGAGGAAACCAAGCAGGGAAAACACCCAAAGAGAATCAGCGTAGGCAGCAGCGAAAGGGCCGGTTTGACGCCTACAAAGGTCGTTGCGCAGCTAGCAGCAAAGCTAACATCGACTCCGCCACCTTGCATGTGCCCTTTTCATCATGCACACGCACCAGGCTATTTTAAAGCACCCCTGAGCATTACTATTTGTGACGGATCCGGCCAGCGCCGAGGTGAGCAACAGCACCGACACCTACCGAGAAATCTTCCTTCCTCAGCAATGACCTCCTCACACGTAGGCATTTAAATACAGGAAAATGCTGATGACGTCTATCGTCGATTCTCAATGTAGGGTAGTTCCCTTCCCGGAGCCGCTATGCTAGCATAAGCGACGTTGGAAGGCTAGCATATTTGCAGAGCAGCTGGCGAACACTAAAGCGCATTCTGCGGATAACAACGTCAAACCAAACGAACGAACGTACGAGGCACCATAATGGACGAGGGCTCGGTGGAAATTTCCAGGGGATGACACGGTGGAAATTGAGCTTGGCTCTTTAAACAACCTCGTCTATTTCGTGCCCTGTATGTTCAATGTCACAGAGCAAAGCCATCAAAATTTCCTCTCGAAACAACGCATCGCTGCACCGAGACAAAGCGAACGAGACTCAATCGGTAGCAACTCAGTCATAACTACCTTCAATTCGGCGTCATGACCTTAATGTTTTGAGGTTGCCATATTTCAGCGTTTTTCCTTTTTCAGCATTTCCCAGACGGCCGGTGTAAATGGTTTCTCCTTTCATCGAGATGACAGCTGAGCCAGTCGGCGGACACTTCCGACTACAAGCCCCGCCTTGAATAGTATCAGGGAGCCAATGAGCGTTAGAATCACCATAGTCCCGTCCAGTCATTCCTCTCTCTTCGATCCGATTGGATATTTTTTGTGTAGCCGCGCCTCCAGCACGCCTATATTCAATGAATGGCACGTGTTCTCCTCCCAAATAAGGATGCATTGAAATCAATGGGAGGAGTTGTTGAGACCACCAATAATCATCAAAATGTAGATATACCCTGCAGCAGCAACAGCCCAACTCGGGAACGACCTCCAAGCGGCGTTGGGCGTGCCTTCGGGCTCCGAACAGTTCTCAGTCAACAGGGTCTGCAGGTTCCCGGGTCGCTGTGGCTTTTGGAGCCGCTTTGGGACCCAGTTGGAGGTTGCTCAACAGCAGCAGCAGCAGCAGCAGCAGCAGCTCTGTGCTGAATCACGTCAGACCAGCAAATTCACCACCTCATGACACCAGAACTCTTTTATTGTTCTTTTTATTTTTTAATCTTTTTTTTATAAGTCGAAAACCCTACTGTGTACATTTTGCTGGTCTTGATTTTCACGTTCACTCTCACTCCAACAGAGAAGGCCATCAAATGGGGGCCCTGTGTTATATTATTCCAGTGGGAGTAAGATGATTTGTGTTAAACCTGTTCAACCAAAACAAGCTCATGTCACCAGTTCGAGTAGGAGTTATTGGTGATGGCTAGTCTGACCAAATTTGAATGCCTTTGCAATTCTGTAACAGTGCTTTGAACGTTGACCTGATATAAGACACAAGTAGAATGTCTATTTGAGTATACAAAACTTTCATATGACAGGATTAATTCATAGAGGAGGATTTTTTTTCAGCTACATTGCCTCCTCAGTATGTTTACCATTTGCAATACCAGACCCATCCCTCATTTGTGTCCTCTCTAAGCTGCACTCACCACCCAACCCACTCTCCTGTGCTGCAGGGCCTGTTGGGGTGGTTTAACAACACCTTGAGCTTGAGTTTATGGTTTCTTTTAAGAACTAACAAGCTGGAGGTCCAGGTGCTTCCTGGTTGAACATTCACAAGCACATACAAAAAGTTGTTATTTGTATCTGAATCTTTATCTGAATAAAATGGGAAATCTGTGGCAAATCTAAGTATACTCCTGTCTCATGGCTCTTTATTTTCTGTCCCTGTTGCCTTTACAGTTGGCCTATTAATTACACACTTTAACACCATCTGAGATATTATTTCCAGGATCAACATGAGAGAGTTTGCATCCAATCAGTACTGATTTATTTTAAATGATTAATTCATCTGTGCACCAAGTCATTCATATATTTATTAGTTCCCACAAAGACGGTGCCCGTGTAGCCGAAGCTGGTTAGTTCAGGTTTCTCAGTTCAGAGGAAACTTTCTGTAGTCTCTGCATATCTCAATATTGATAGAGCTCAGTTGCCATACAAACCAAGCGAGTGCAGCGGAGTGGAGTCCAGCCAGCAGCTTGCTGTTTGGCTAAGGGAGTCATCCTTCACACAGTCAAGTGTTGTTGAAAAAAGCTACACGTGTAAATGTACATGGATATCCAAAATACTTCACATATTCAGTTCTATAATGACTTATTTATTGGATGACACTAATTAAAGATGTAACCAAAATTCACCAAATTCTGGCTAACTTCCCTGGAGATGCTTTGTTAGGCCTGGAGATCCAATTGCTACATTTTATGGGTCAGTAATGAAAAGCATGCTCTGTTGGTTTTAGATTGGGCCACAGATTTGTATTTTATACAATACAATACAATACATCCTGATTTGTATAGCGCTTTCACAACAGCTGCAGCTGTAACAAAGTGCTGAACAAAACAGTTAACATAAAGTAAAATAATAAACACAACACACAACACATAACATAAAAGACGGACAGTCGTGCAATCCTAACCACTTTTCCCTCATACGCTTTGTTGTTTAAAGCAGTTTGAGATGAAAGAGGAGAGAATCAAAGTGTCCTTTCACCAGTGGATCAGAGATGTCATGCTCAAAATGTGCACACGTCGGCTACAAGCTAAGTTTCAAAGTCAATGAGAAGCTGATGAAAAAAAGAGATTGATTCACTTCTCCTGTGCCATGTAAATCCATTTCAATTCCAAGCGGCGACTGTCAGTTCCAAATACGCATCGGCGCTCCGCGCCGAAGCTCCTCTCTCCTCATCCTCAACTTCAGCAGCCGTCCATCTAGCCGCCCCAACGCAGACTGTCCAACAGTGCCGACATCTCCACTGAACAAAACGGGGCTGCGAAAAATGCTGCCCATTACAGAAGCAAAAAACACAAACACCCCAGGGCTGTCCAGCACCGACAGTCAAATGGCGCCGACATTCGTTCCAATCAAAATCTGTGCTGGTCCAGGCGTGCTGCCGAGAAGGCGCAACCACCAAGCGCAGTTTCTTCTACTTTGAAGAATGTCATGGCCAAAAAACGTAAAGCAGTCCACATCAGGTCCACACAATGAAACAACAAACACCATGTGACAAAACAAAACACAAAAACAACAAAAAAAGCAAAGTTCTTCAAGAGCACTTGCCGACGACTGCCTACTCGGGCGCCATCAATCAATCAATCAATCAAATCAATTTTAAACAATTTTCAGCCTTTTAAAGTCTTGGGTTGGTTTTCACAAGTACACTATTGTTTACTGATGACCTGACTGCTGCTCCCTGTCTGTTCATAAGATACTGCAAAGTGCAAATGGATAATGATGGGGAATCAAATCAAGAAATATTGAAGGCAAATTCACAAAATATTCATCAACGGCCAAGTCAGTACTCTAATCTCATGCATTTCACATACTGCTGATAACCTTGAAGGCAGCAAGACCCACAACCAGACAAAGACAGAAACTAACTGCAATGAAGATCTGTCAGAGCAAGATGGTGTCTGCATTTGGTGACTGACACTCCAAACATCAGGCACTTTTTGAATAGAAAGCATATATAAATACTAAGTATTTAAAATAAGTGACAATTATGTCAATTGTGCCAATAATATTACCAAACTCCTAAAATACTATCACTACTACGACTACTACTACTACTACTACTACTATTACTACTACTACTAATAATAATACAATGATTTTTCAAGCCATCTTCAATTACATGTTGATTTTTTTCTTTAGAAATAAATCATGGTGGTGTATACAAGCAAAAACGTACAACCTCTGCCTTCGTCCAACTACTTTAAGACTTAATTTCCAGCTCGAGCTTTTACTTCCCACAGAGAACATCTGAGAAATGTCTCCACCCAGTGGTCATTTTTTATCACCACACCCTTTTCTATGTCATGACGCTATGACTCGCAGTACTGGAATCACAAAGACAATGAATTGCTGGTGCTAAACTAAAGGCCTGGGGGCCACATCCGGCCCACGACATATATTTAAATGGCTCACAAAGGGAAATCATGGGTATCGACCACGTTTCTTGCAAATTGTCTCCACTTATAACAACGCTATTTTTGCAAGTGTTTTTTGTTACCAATCCCTCCTTTAAAATACCTAGAAAAATAGTTGAAAAAACAATTATTTACCGGCTTCTAATTTAAAAACCATTTCTTAATCAATTTGTTGTGTATATGGAGTAATATAAGGCAAATGGGTTCACAGTCATAAGTTAAACACCCCTGCCATCAACTGTATGGTATGCTGTGTCATTGATTGCATTGATTGTGGTCGTCTTCCCTCACACTTTTTTAAAAAGTAAAAATGTAAAACACTGAACATTTTGAAACCTAAGTCTAGTTTGTTGTCACTGTAGTCTGACCTTGGTAAATTGGATTGGCGCAGCATGACTACAGTCTAAGTCTATCAAGCTTGCACAGCTTTTGCTTATTTCCAAGATGATATTAATAATATATTTGTAGTCATTTCATAAGCCCATCAATAAAATGGTGTGCTACATGTGTGCTCTCCAACTTGTTTCCCTGGGTGGACAAGTGTTTTGATCCTGACAATTAAAGTTAAAATTGCTGTTTAATGGGAACTTATTCAAATGAGCTTTTTTGTTGTAGTAAATGTTATAACAAAGTCATGTTTATTATTTATTTTGATTTCATGTTTTTAAATTTATACTACACATTTATTTTTAATTACATTTTTTTATTTTTTATTAGAGTTAACAAGAAGATGATACCTGAGAATTAAATATTTAAAATTAAGTATACAAAATAAAATGATTCACATACAATAATCAACTGCGGTACATTCTACTTTTGGAGATTCATCCACTTGTACGAGTGAGGGGGTACACAAGACAAAAAAAGGTGGGAACTCCCGATGCAAAGAACATAAAGTCAATTATGGGCTGATGAGAAAAGGAACAGGTTAGTTTATTGTTCTCCATACATACACACACACACATACGTATATAAAGAAAAGCCACTACATTAAACAGAATGTCACATTACACATATACAGTACATATTCAAGAAAAATAGCTTATTTCTCCTTAGGCCTCCAACCTCTGGAAAAGAATTGGGGGAGGGGTGAAGTAAGGTCTAAGAATGGAGATTGTAAAGATTTCTAAATTAGAGGGGTTATACATTATATCAAATAAAATGAACGTGTTGATTGTACATTGTCGCCGTGATTTGAAGGCATGTGTGTCATACTTCTAAACTTCATTTCTAGACTGCAAAAGCATGGCTGGCCTTAAAAGGTCAAAAGCCTGTGACGGTGACCTGAGAAGTATCTCTCGAAAAAAAAAAAAAAAAGAAAAGAAAAAAAGGGGCCTTTCTCTCTGCTTCTTCCTACACAGGCCTGCCTCTTGGGGTTGCAGGCTCTTGGCTGAGGCCCAGAGGAAAGCTCTCGTGGCCTCTGTAAATATAACATTGATTATAACATACCCCATGTGTGGACATAACCCACTTCCTGGGTGCTCGATGTATTGCCGTGCATCTTAAACAGATGAGATAACAGGCCCCCCCACATCGCTGCTGACCTTGGTGAGGGACTTGAGAGGAAAAAAGGACTAATTTCCAAGGGCACACGCAAGGCAGGGGACACAGCAACGGCCGACATGTCTCCATCCAGTCCGGATCAATCAGCACATATACAGGACTTGGTGATATGGATGATACTTGGTCAAATTCAGCATCCCGTAAAAGCGGCGTGTTGGGGACCCCGCGTCACATGACTTGTTCTCTTCAACTTTCAGCAGTCCAGCAAAAGCTGACAAAAGTGCAACAGCATAGACATTTGTGGCTCAACATCGTCAAAACAAAACATTCAATCGCCTCACTTGTTGGTATCCAATACGCTGAGGCCATTCATTGTGTGATAGTTCACCTGTACCAGGTGCTGATGGCGACATGGGAAACAAGCATGGAGAGAATGTTGAACCATTTGCCAGTGCACGCGAAGAGCTTTAAATGTAACATTGATGTGTTCTGCTCAATGAATGATGTGAATTTGTCGACATTTAAATGAAACATCTTAGCATATTCCTCACGTCTGCACTGTTAACCGGCCAACAATTTGCAGTTTTGGGTGACTTGAAATCAATTCATCGAATGTATTACTTGTGTGTTTATTTGAAAACTTTTTCTGCTGGCGTCATGGCTGTAATAATGCGCTACAATTAATATGTGCCAGAACTGGACTTCAAACCTGTACAATTGGTATTCCACTATCAAGTGTCTATATACTGTAATTACAACACACGTTTCCACTTGCAAACAAGACTGTGTATGTTACATATCTACATCATGTGAAACAGGTGCAATATGGTGAGGAAAACACTGTATATTACCTCAAACGCATCGTAACGACTCTAGATTTGACTATATTCATACATGTTCATATAAATATAGATTACTTTTTTCCTATTTACATTTGAATAATATTTCAACATTGCTGAAAGAAGAAAATAAATAATACCAATGGAGTCAAATCTTACAGTAAGTATGATTAGAGAAATGCTAAATTAGAGCAAAAACAGTCCGAAAAATAGAAATAATCACGATAATAACAAACATTATTCATTAAAAAAACAAAAAAAAAAAAAAACCAGAAAAAAAAGTGGCCTATAGGCAGGCGTCAAAATACATGCTATGCCACAATTACCCTGCAATTTTACCTTGTGGGACTGCTGGAATGACTGGAGAAGGTGAAAAAGAGTACACAGAAAAGGATTTTGTTTCCCTCTGCTCAGTGTGTGTGTGTGTGTGTGTGTTCATGTGACAATGTCCAATTGTGCTAGTAAATGGTGTTAAGGGTTATCAGTGTTGTAATCTCCTAAATTTTCACCTCCTAATGTCAGTGGCCTAGGGCTCTTCCTGCTCCGCGGCCACGCTGGCATCTGGACTCTGGCGGCGCAGTCCCTGATTGCGACCGCGAGAAGGAGCGTGGAGCCCAACCTTGCCAGCTTTGTCCCTGTCCCCGTGGCGCGTGTGCCGAGGGTGCTCGGGCTGGGGGTGAGACGGCGAGGGGCGGCGTTGTTCGGCAGCCGAGGGCGAGGGCGTCAGGGAGGAGCATAGACTGAGGCTGTCGCACAAAGCTCCCCAGTTCTGCTCGCACTGAAGCCGGACACTACGAGTTAATGCCTCCTTCACTTCCTCGCCGCAACCCAGCAGAATGTTCACCAGCTCCACATAAGGACTAGGCAGACACACGCCGATAAATTACACGACGCTTGGACAAAGAAAGGTCAAATGCTTTGACTAAACAAGGAAGAATGGCAAAATGATAACCTAGTAAGGCCAGGCTCGATATAAATCCACACTGTCCATTATCTTACCCTTTAGGGAAGAGATCTTGAAAATGGATCATCTCGACCATGACGGCCACATTCTCCTTCGCAGCTGAGCACAGATTGTGTTTGACATAACACTCTCTCTGGAGCTGGAACACCATCTCCTTAATGGAAACACACTTCCTACTGATACAGCTGAACTTGTGTCGAAGCCCGTGGGCCATACATTTCAGAGCATCCTTGATGAAGGATTTACCCTGCAAAAAAACAAAACAAAGCACAAAAAAAAAGAACACACAGGCATGTAAATTAATGGTGTGACAAAGCCTTTTGCATTTCAAATGCCAGGGATGCTAAACAAAGCACGTTAGCTCCAATATGGCACTGACACTACAATTCTCTGTCCACCCAAACATTCCATCACAGGTTGCTCATCAAATGCCAGAGTAATAGGTGGTGCTTATAACAGTGAAGAAAGCCATTTGGGGAACAATTACAATGACAACAAGGATGAAGCGGGGAAAACACCATCACATGAACTAACGGTAAATAGTAATAAATGTCACACTAGAATATAAAGTTAACTAAGATACAAAATCATGTCACATAAAGGGATAACGGGGCACACTTTGTCAAGGCAAAAATATTTTTAAAATGGCCAAGAGCATTAGGTCCAGTCAACCATGCACGCATGAAACTATGACAGAACGCTCAGAAGCCTCGCATAAACTGGCTTGAGTTTTGGCCAACCAGGTTGAAACTCTTGGGCCTAACTATGTGCATCAACCTAAACAGTTTGTGCATATTTACAAAAGCAATCCCCTAGTGAGGCATACACAAACAGAAATAAACAAATCTATTTGCAGATGAGTCTGGAGCAGCGAGTCAGTGTTAAGGAATGTTGCCCTCTGGTTATACAATTCTTGCAAACGGCCCAGTCATACCTGAGAGTCAAATTTGCCAGCATTATGCAGGAACGTCATGCAGATCTCCTGTAGCCCTCGAATCTCGCAGGAGTTATTCTCAAAGCACTCAAACACGCCACAGCCGACGTCGCCTGCGCTCACCAAGCAGTGCTGGATCTCAGCTGGAATAAAAAGAACAGGTTGCAGGCGGTAGCAACTGCGGTGAGTTGAAGGTGAAGCTGCTGGACACATCACATACAAATATTTGATTTCAAATGTAAGTGACTGGTTTGCCTGACAGACAAAAAATGCAAACAGGACACAAGTGGGGGTGAGGTCTAATTTCCCTTGGTAGTTGAAACTATCGCACCCTGTTCCATCTGCAATGGCTTGAGCTGAGCATTTTATGGTGCATTGCAGATGCAGACTTCATTTCTTCTGGTGGAGCTCTGTGCAGGCATGTATATTGTGTGAGTAGCAACACGCGTGCAACAAACCGAGACGATGTACAAATGTAAACAGGAGCAAACTTGATGAAAATTGGCTCCTGGTCATTCCTTTTCTGTTTCATTCCAGTCACGAATGGCAGTGACAAACCACGAGAACACTGTTGAATGTGAAACTGCTGAAAGTCTTTCACTTAAGGTTTTGGGTTCTGCATCACACCTGTTGGACCAGAGTCAAGCGTCATTCAGGGCAAGTTAGCTTGAAGCTTTGCTTTGTGTGCAAAACAGCCATGCAGATTCCAGGTTTGTAGGCCTTAGATGAACTTAAGCGCGCAGGAAAAGTGAGCCGTTGACGGCGGTGCTTGTTTTGGCATCAGGGGAATGTGCTTGGATCGTACAAGCTTGGCTGCTGTTGCAAGAGTGGGGGTGGGCTTCCACTCTCAAACCTGCTGTGGAGATTGTTGTTTTTAATCAAGGAAATTAGCCTCTAATAATAACAGTCAGCTAATAAACCAGACCTAATAAAATAAGTGCCAGTAAGATTGAATGACTGGGGCCACAGTCACTAGTCATAAAATGTACAGGTGCAAGATCATAAGGAAAGCAAAGAGTTTTGAGGAAGTTGTACCATCTTTGAATCACAAAAAGTATCATCATGCATGATCAATTACCTCAGGTTAGTGATTTCTAACCAATATGCCATAAGAAATCATCAGGTGTGCCACGGTAAACAATGCACCGCAAATTATTGACCATAAATAAAGCACAAATAATGCTTCATTTGCCCATCTTTGCCAGCAGCAGGCAGAAAAATGAAATGCTCTTCTACTAGATGGTAAAAGATACATAATTAGGCTGTGTATCCACGGTTGGTAACCTTTTTTATTTATTGGTGTTCACTATGGATGTTTTTTTTAATGTATAATACGTGATTTGACTCAATAAAGGCTGGGAAACATTTGCCTGAGACCAAGCCATTAATAGTTTCCCAACATATTAAAGTCCCGTTCACAATTATTTAGACATCACGATATTGTATGTCGTGTGCCTAGACTACCGATTCCAGTGTAAAGCAGTCCACAAATGTTCAATCGGCTGGACTCGACACCGACACTCCGCCTTAGACTCGCGGAAGCACGCGCACGAGGACACGAGCACGTACTTACGCAAACGTACGCACGTGTCGAACTGAGCTCACTTAGATAGCCACTTCTACTATTGCTAACCTGTATTTTGCAGGGAGAGGCGGCCTTTGGGGACGGCGGGCTTCTCCGGCGGGGTGTCGTAAATGTCGATATTATCCGAGCCCACCACTTGCTCCAGTACCGAGAGAACCAGCAGCGCTGCGGCCACTTTAAGGAACATCGCGTCTCTGCCCCTTTCTGCCGCTAAGATCCGCCAGTTATACGTGGAAAGCTTGCGGGGATGGCGCGTGGGGGTTCACCTCAGATCTGGGAACCGCGCGGCTGCGGCTCGGTGTTGAAGTGTATGCATGCGCCGTCGTGGATGCTGCCTATATCTCCCAGAGTCGCGGGTGTCAATTTGGATGAAGGAGTTAAGCAGGTGTTGTCGCTCGGTGTCTCTCAGCCAATCAGAGACGCCGACATCCTCGTCCGCGGTTTGGAGGGGCGTGGCCACAGAAAGTTCCCCCATTTTAACACAAAACTGTGGAGCTATTAAAAAAATGCTCGAGACGGAACTACTGAACTGACATCGGTGGATCCTGGAGGATTAAACCACGTTTGGAACACCAGTGAGCCCACAACATTTACAACTTGCATTCGATTGTTAGAAAAGCAGTGCAGTTGATGCTCGGTTCTTGAATGCAACAAGCTGGACAAACAATAAAATGGAAGAATAAATTATTAAAATAGAGCTCAAACGACTTTGTAGTGATTAAGACATGTTACAATGGAATTTTGGGGCATCCAATGTAAACAGAATGTATTGAAGTTTGTGGTAAGGGCAGGTTTTCTTTTTTGAGGATGTCATGGGGGTAACTGCTCATGCACCGACTGCAAAAGGAGTCCTTAGAATGTTTCCAGTGACCTTGGAAACGATCTTTCTACTTATAGGTGTTGTATAGAGTAAGCCTGCATGTCCCTGTCTCGCCCAAGTGCGAGCGGGGGCTGCCTGAGTGCTACCAAATGGAAAAGAATTACAGTACCAACAAAAGTGAATGGTCGGCAAAGTGCACTTGGATTACAATCCTCCAGGGGGCCCCACAGATATAAATTGATGGTCAATTATACAACATAGGATTTGAGATATTTGGCCCAACGCTGGATGGACACTTTGGAATACAGTCTTCCCAGCTGCTCAGTTTATTCGCATTCCCAAAAAAACAGGAAGAAAAAAAAGCAGCTTTAAAATACACGTTCACCCCCAAAAATGGCGACATGAAATCTCTGCAGAAACTAATACGACAGTACTTCCAAACAAACATGAAATGGAAAGCCAACAGTACTTGCACTTGCAGGGGCCTACGCCACCTGCTTAAAAAAGAAGAGGGCCATCACACAAGCCAAATACCAGTCAGTCAAAAATCAATCATCCAAACCAGTGATAATAAATTACGTTTCATTATTATGATATCACAAAAGTAAGTATAGATTATGGTCATATCTATCATTGTAATGGAGGTCAGGCTGTCGAGGAGTTCTCAAAGATTTTAGCCAGTTCTTTAATTCAGTACTTCAGTATTTAAATTTTCTTATCATTCTAATATTTGGGGTGGCGCGGTGAGCGAGTTGTTAGCACATCCACCTCACAGTCCAAAGTTATGTCCCACCGCTCTGATTAGGCTCCATCATTGATCCGATTGAGGTTAAACGGATCAAAAATGGATGGATTTTTTAGTTTAATGCGGAAAAAGGAATTCTGGTATTCATTCACCCACACATTTGTTCTTATTCAATGCATTTTTTTAAAAGTTTAAATATGATAATCACATGGTGGAGTTTCTAAATAGATAGACATCACATAATTCGCTTGAGCAAAAAGAAAAATAAGTTCCAGTCTATGCACCGCAAAATGCTTAAGGTTGATGGGAATGGAGTGGAAATTGCAATGCAGCAATATTTCAAGTCTGCTGGATTTGGGTAACTCACATCGGAGGGTGTAACGCACCATGGCACACGTCTCGGGAGGGTTTACATGTTTCCACGAGACCTTCAACCACAAACTGGAATCTCCTGCTCAACCGAAGTCAGTTGAAACCCACCCTCGCCGTAAACACACCCTCAATTCGATCCAATCAGTGAGTTGCATTTGACCACAGGCCACTAATGTGAGTCACCTCTGTCTGATGCTACATTCACAATCCATGGGGGGAAAAATAGTCAAACCCAAACTAATGTGATGGATATAGCCATTTAAAGAGATGCTTCTTTAGATGCCAGGGGAAGTAACATGTTCACACTCTCTGAACAAGCTACACAAACCAGTGTCTTGCACGAGGTTGCCTTGGAAACACTTCAGCAAAGAGTCTATTTTTTTATCACAGGACAGCCTTCAAAGTTGAATATCCTCAAAGTGGTAAAAGTGGCATTTCAATCACATTATTTTGGTTAAAACTATCAGGTCCATTTAAAAATCAGAGGTTGATCAGTAATTGTTCATGACACCGCAGCAAATCTTGAAAGACTTCTGCTTTTCGAGTGTTTAAATGATTAACTTCACAAGTGTTTTTGCTTTTTCTTTTGTGTGTGTGTGTGTGTGTGTGTGTGTGTGGTTTTTTTGTAATGCCACTACAGAAGAGTACCTTGTAAAGAAGAAAAATGTGGAAAAGAATTGAACTTATTATAGTATGAGCAATACAATTACACATCCTTTATCACTGACCATTGACAATACGCAAATTATTTAAGTCAAGTCAAAAATTTACAATAATATGTTCGATGTGACCCCTACAGTCTAAACATGGTATTGTGAATATTATTGTGTTAACGGCATTTGACTTAAGCAGCAAAATCCAACTCTTTTTAATCATCTCAGGGGGCGGCCATTTTGAAAATGAGGCCAGAGTGGAGAAGGGTTAAGCTTGCGTAGGTCACATGATCATACACAGAAAACAGGTGAGACTTGGTTGAGGAGGCGCACACCTCCTTGTACCGTTTTTAAATTGTGCTTAATAAATGAACAAACCCTTCACTTGTATTGAGTTGACCGTTTTTGGCTCCAATAAATTCATCAGATCTCGTCAAATTCTTTACCGATTTTGACACAGATTGTTTTCCTAAGAAATGTCAGCGAAGCACTTCTGATGCCTGACAGTTGGGTAATTTTAAAGTGGTGACTTTAACAACATATTAAACATAAAAAGTAAGACCAGATAAATTTTAATTTAAAAAAGGATATTAAACAAATACAATGACAACAAACTAAATCTTATTTTAAATTTTCTTACTATCTCATTGTTGAACAGTTTGAAACAGACTGAAGCACAATTAAAAGCTTTGAAAACAAATCTTTTAATCGAGGTCAAAAATGATATCCAGTATCGCCTAATCTTTCATTTTGCGTGAATATTTTTATATCCAACATGAGAGGAATCAGTGCCTCATCAGTCATAGGCCTCACTGCACGTCGCTGTGCTGGAACCACGTCTATCTACTGGTCCAGGTACTGGAATCAGATTCTGGTCAATCTGATCAACGTGCCAGCAGAAAGATTCTGAGCTCAGTGGACGTGTGGTGGATGTCATCGTATTTCATTCATTAATATGACAACAGCATGCAATGAACCCTCTGAAACATTGCAGAAATAAATTCAGTTATTGCATTATGACTATTATTATTATTAGCATTTTAATTATTATTATAACCCCATTTCTAATTTTGGACGTGAGGTGAAAAGGTTTGGGAAAGGCAAGGACACGGCATCAGTTCAAAAACTGTCAAAATAATTGCAAATTAGTCTCCAGTTTGCTAAAAGTATAAACCCCTATTGAGTAATCATTCGGCCTACTCACTCACCTGACTACTGAACAGAGAGTTTTTTATTGTCCCCGCTCTGCGAAGCAGTTTTGTGAAGAGTGATTGCACCTAATCCCATGAAGCTCACTTAACTTGCTTAAAACAATGTGCTATTATGGCCGTTGCTTTGTGCGATTTATATTGCGCTTGGCAAATTGCAAAGTCTCATTACTGTCCATATAAGCCCGCAGGCCTGGCTAGCACAAAGGAGTGATTGAGTGATAAGGGGAACGAGATGGCCCACTGAGAGACATCACCTTCGCCTCGATGAGGAGGTGATGTCATCGTGACTAGAGACACAGGGGTCGACCTCTCTGATAGGTGGGCGCGCTGGGACAAAAGAGACCAGCTTGTAGACAAAGGCCCCATTTAATGAGCCTGAGACAGGAGGCCAAAACTTACTCGGTGGGTGGCACATGGTGTCATAGCTGCTGAAAGACCGGTGAGCAATTAATCATCTGATTCAAGAACTGGGCTTATTATGTCAGGTCATTTCAGATCACACTATTGAGACGAAGGGGCCAGGGTTACACTCCGATCACACATGAGCCCTCAGATTTTCCCTGATCCCATAACATTGCAGCCAGAGATACTATATTTATCACGGTGGTCAGGTCCAATAATTGTGTAATATAATATGACACACTTACTCCTCATTAGAGCTGAAGGGCCCTTTGTGGCAGCCTGACAATCATTACAAGCTCTCCATTGGCTTGGCTTGTTTACTCTTTGGTAATTACCAGGTGATTGTGCGGCCTGTGACCCACATTGAGAGTCAGGTCAGCCAAGCCATGGGGGATAATTGACAAGATTCAGGGAAGTGCACGTAGAAAAAGAGTGCTAGTGGAGAGACATTTGTTGCTGCATCATTAGACTGTGTTGGAAGACAAGTCCGCTCAAAAGTCGGTGGGTGGTGGTGGTAGTGAAGGCTTGATGGGGATATGTGACAACGCTAGCTATCTATTTGTTTTCACTGGTTCATAATACAAAGTCAGTTCATGATTACATGCTAAGCTAAACAGGCAGGCAGTAGCGAGGATAAGCGGTTCAAAAAATGGATGGATGGAATTTTTATTTTATTTTATCACAGTAGCAATTTATGTGTTGTGAAATATTAGTGTTACGGTAAGTTGTTTTTCACTAAGACATTCAAAATATACACCCTATCACAGCCTGAGTGAAAATAATGTTAGGTGCACAGGCCCATACACAAAGAATGCGTCAATGTTGCCTTGGAAGAGTCCCGCGCATTTTTCAAAGTGAATCTGCATTTGTTTTGTGTGGCGTTGTGTCATATGGAATGACAAGTCTGAAAATTTGTTTGTAAATAATGAAAGCTGAGGACAGTGCGATTGACAGGCACATGGGACAGCACAAAAAAAAAAAAAACTTAGGTTGCTTATGCAATAACTAATTACCACACTGCAAGTGGACATCGGTATGTATACCTATGTACAGTACATCAATCTAAAAAAATATCCAAAGAATTGGCCCAATATTTTCTTTTTTATGGATGAAGCATTTCCCTGATTAAGTGACTTACCGTAAGCTTCTGCAGTGAATGCCTCTATGGAGAGGAAAACACTATCGCCATAAAATCAGTAATATTAAAGCCATATTTGGAATATTTCCAGAGTTTGTTTGATGTGTGCATCAGTCAAGATGTCAACACAAATTTTGATGACGACCGATCGGAGTTTACGGGCATTAGGTGACGTTTATTGTTCATAGATTACGCGCTGAGACTGTCCCTGGCAATATTCACAGTGGGGCAAGTGAGGAGGAACATATTGCATTGGGGTCAGCAACTAAAAAGCAATTTGAACAAAATAATAATTCATAAAA